GTGCTACTACCCGAACACTCCAAACAGTATCAGGTTCTATTAGAATTCCAAAAGGGCATAAAAACAGGCATTACAGCAAATGANATCATACTTTTCCGATGTGCATTTTCAGGATAGCCGGAGGCATGAACAAAATTCCATCAACCTGATAATCCTTCTGCGACGGACGGAATCCTCCCGCGATTTATTGCCACGCCAAGGTTTCCCCTGTCTAGTCACCATGTTATTTACGATATTTTATTACTGCAGTACTACGCCGTCATCACGTGAAAAGTAAATACTACCTGACCATTCCATAACCTGAAAGGCATTCCTATACTTGCAATGCCTTTACCCGTCTGTACTTTTTGAAATAACGTCAACAGCGATAAAGCATCTGTTACCTACTTTACAATACAGGTTCCTCACCCCCCATCGCCCCTCATTACCATTGTAAAAACACCTAGTGTACAGTCCGAAGCATTCACTAGAGCAAAAAGACTATAAACGCTTTTGGTACGGCATAAGTGAGCGTGAGAAAAGCACTCTCAAGTTCATGTTTGACCTTACCATCACCTTCTCATGGGCAATCCGATTAAACCATCTGAAAAGAAAAAGTAAACAGAAACCTTTTGAAATATCAATAACGATACCTCTAACATTCTCACTAAATGTGCTACTACCCGAACACTCCAAACAGTATCAGGTTCTGTTAAACTTCCAAAAGGGCATAAAAACAGGCATTACAGCAAATGACAAATATACTGTCACCCTCACGACGGATTCGTGCCCGAAAAATCACTATGACTCATCGTGCATAAATTTGTCTGTCGAATCGAACACGATGGATGAACACGCAAACTGCGCTCAAGACCAGTCACCAGTCACCCCAATGCGATATTTCGACAAACAATCGATTCATTTTGGAAAAATTCACTCGGATGCAATTTTTCGGTGCTCAAGCACAATCACTCCATGTAATCCATTTTGTCTGTACGTGCAACCTTTATAAAACCACAATCACCGCGTTTTTATAGGGAACACCGGAATTTGCACCAGCTGATGAATAACTAGGATTAATAAAAAAAACACAATACTTATAAAAAGAAGGCGAGTATAGCATGCAAAATTAGATGACGTGCGAGGAAGACAATATGAGCCGCAATTCAATCTAGCATTTTAAACATTACTCGAATAAGGAATGGTATTGGTGGAGTGAAGCTGATGGAATTTTGAAGACAACACGCATGAAGAACGATGGTTGGCGAACCATCAAGGCAGATCTGAAAAGAAAAAACTGAAGATGAAGACAGTAAGCGTAGAAAACCATAACAAAATTAGAATCAAATAATTCAAGAACAAGCCCCTAGAAAGTCATAGACTTGGAACCGGGGCCTCTGACGGGATAGCAACGCTGCGAATTCCTTTGAATTATGCAACAGGGAAAGCAAATTCATCGCAAACCCACATTACCAAAGAATCAATACAGAAATGTTCGCCAACGTGGAATACGCTACTCTTGTTTTATTCTTGGCAGCATTCACGAAGACTGTTGCTTCGAAAAAATTCGAAGGAAAAATTGATCTCAATTCCTACTCGAGTACTATTTGATTACCGTATATTGAGGGCATGAGGCATTATGCCAGTAATCCAAGGGGAACCCAGCGAATCGCAACAATAACAACTAGATGTGGTCTCACTAGCAAAAGAGGAACCCATTTATAAGTAGTTCCGACTGAACATGAAAAGCACAAGCCGAAGCGGGACGTTCTAGAAGTGTCATCAAGTATCAAGGTGTCAGGATAGAACGCGCGAAATACCATAGAGTATAAACTAACCTTCCACCTCCCACAGTTGGTTTTTTTTTTTGAAAAATCTGTCTGACTTTATAATGGAGCACCAACCAAAAGCCTATCAAACTTCAATACAATGATGCACCACCTTTTTGAAAAAAAAANAAAAAAAAATCCATGGGTGAAAAGAAATAATAGTAAACAACACCACTCACCATTACAAGGCGGCCTAGTAGCCGATTTCCTCAAGATACTTGGCTAGCTTCTCAACGGATGCACGCACTTGAGCTGACACCTGGTTCTCTCCCTCATAGACAGCGATCAGCACTGCAGACTTAGTTTTTGCCGCGAAAAATCCACTCTTATCTTTCTTGCCAAAGATGAGGTTTTCTTCAGTGCGTGGCACAATGTAGTGAACGTCTTCGAGATCGACACCTTAATGAAAAAGGGATTTCTGACATGGCGATTTACCTTTGTAGGACCTTTTTTGAAATATCACTTCGAAATGTACTGTAATTTTGAAAGGGTTCGGACAGAATCAATGAAATCGGAGAGAGAACATATGGTGTCGTATCAAAGAACTTGTTTACTGGATATAAACCCCAACTGGCAATTTATGAGCCCAAAGTGTATGAATCACATCATTGTGTTCTTCTAGAACCACCAAAAATTAACGGTTCGATAGGGGAGAAGGGACTAGTGAGCACTGCAACCGAACCAGGCGTGTAGGGGCATGTAGAAAAAGTGATGGGAAGGCTTGAGGAGTTGATACTTGTGATTAAAAGGGGGCTTGCTGATAACTGCAAGTCTATTATGCCGAAGAATCCTAAATTTGTGATGAAATCATATAAATGAAAGTATTACCTTGTGCTGGCACATCATTCAGGTTATCAAAGAGCCCGACGAATTTCTTCAATTCAGCATCAGTAGCAGCGAATGTATTTGGATCCTGAGTACGAGCCCAAATAGAACCATCAGCACTTCCAACAATTGCGGCTCGTTTAATAGCCGGTGACGCCTCTGTCATCGTGTTGATGTACGCGTCCCAGCCAGACATGTTCTGAATTACAAAGAAAATATACAGGGACACTGTTTGTAAACAAAACAGACGGAACTGCGAAACATTGATATATTGCTTCACAAAAATGGCCGAAACCCCACGAAAGCCCTTTCGAAAAAGGTTGGGAGAAAACATCAGCAATACAGCAATTGCTCTCTAACAGCGTCATAACATTCAAAACGATCAGCATAAACTGGCTTCGAATGTCATAGGCACTGGACATGACGATTCCGTCAATGCGTCGAGACGAATTAATGATTGCCTCCAAAGAACTTGACGGACAGAAAAGCACATGAAAGGAGAGTAAACTGCCACTTTTGACCAAAATGCGAAGAGGTGACCAAAGAAAGCCACACACTTATGCAAAACCTGTACAACATTTCCTATTCTCGCCAATGCTATTGGTAACTTGGTGCTACTTCCCAGGTATAGGCGATATTGTAGATGATGTGAAATTATCCTCAGAACACTTTTCACCCAGATCCTGCGCATCACGCAGGACTGCCTGTCAAAAAGAGAACAAAGCCCGAGGTAGAGGAGCATTTGGGACGGGTGATGTGCCTACTGCAAAACGGACAGAAAATGCATAGCCTTTTAGAAATGCATAATTATTTGTTAATGAAACATCGAAAGGGGGACTCCGGACTCCCGTCAGGATCTTTTCTCCTGCTAGACGTCTTTGTATACTCGATGGAATTCTCAGCTTCCTTTTCTGATCATATTCCGGGAATGCAGGCGATAAATGTCATCGGCGCCCAACAAATCTGCTAATAACGCCTGAAGTTAACAGTTTCGGCCTACACAGGAGTCAAGGCACTTCAATATCGCAGTGAATTGCTACTTACCACCCCTTATTTTCCTTCAAGAAAGATATGAGTAACGAAATGAAGTTTTTTTAAACAACGGTCAGTGAACGACATTTGGCCATGGTAATAATCCCATTCAACAATGACGTGACAATAGACGCACGTGTTAGCTTTTTGTCTAAGCACTTTTAACAGTGACACAAATACTTCTAAAACCTGCACTTTTGTTCTTTCTGACTAATCATCAACAAAAAACCGGTTGATACACGGTTTACCTACTCAAAAACTATCTGGAAACAGATGAGCGACTGGTAAGTTCCTACCAGTCCACTCGGGCAGTACAAGTGAGATTAAGCAGTGGGCACAACTACAAGGCTCAATGAAGACACCTTGGGAGTTATTGTGAAGGTAACTTCCACACAGCAAGACAAACAACATAAAACCACCACAACATGCATGGAGTATCTGTTTTTCTGAACAAATGCAAAACACCATTTGGATGAAGAGCCTATCTGGCGGCGATGGAGATTCCCCTCATTGGCTCCACAACTCCCATGGTAACCTCATAACCTGAATGGTTAGCAGCCAATGAACTCTGAGCAAGGTTTACTCTAAGCATGTTTGCTTGGGCTCAGCCGGAACCTCCTAAAGTGCTTGAACCATGTGTTTGGTAAATGAGCTCTGAACAAATACAAGGTTTCCCAGAAGCAGAGTGAACAGATAACTACAAGACACTTCCATTGGTGGTCCTGAGATTCTATAGGCTACACACAGAACTTTCGTTTCGTGCAAACCAGAGTTCTTTGGTTCGTATAGAGGTGAGAACCAGAATCGAAGGGTCCAGACGGGCGGAATGGTGAACGCAAGTGACATAAACGAGAACATTCGATACCGGCGGTGGCGGCGCAATGGTCGAATCGCCGATCCACGAAAAAACCTGGCAAGTGGCCAGTATTCAAAATGAACGATGCGTTGCAGCGTCTACGTATCGACAGACGCAACACGAACCCTCACAGAAGGTTGTCTGGCGCGAGCGGACGCGCTGCAGCTGTCCCTAAATTTATTTCTTTTGTTCGAGGGCCCACTTCCGTATTTGGCGTACTTTCTTGATGTATTTGATCTCCGTGGAGGTCTTGATGTCCAGTGGGAAGGAGGTTAAACCGGTTACCCCTCTTTCAGGTCTAATTTGTTCGGCTTCTGAGCTGTAGTAGTATGTTTTCAAAAAGACCAGTATTCGGGGTGATTTCTGGCATTTTTTATCTAATTAATGCGTGCAAGTGGAGATTGAAGTTTTACTTCACAACTGGGTTAGCGGGTTAGGTCCTTTTTCTAACCTTGAACTGTTGTACAATTGACTAGTCGGATATAGAGTCCGATGTTTTTTCGCAGATGTTAATGAAGAGAGCATGGAAGTTTTATGAGGTTTCTTGTAATCTGTAAGAGATAGGCTTTTTTAAGATTTAAACCTATTTTATAGTGAGAGAAAGGGAACCGTAATTGTGACGTCTGTGGCGATAGTTGACGCGCAACTCGTTTCATTTTTAATTAAACAAATTCTATGAATATATAGTACTTGGGTCCTTATCTATTGTATAATCAGTTTACAACGCTTTGGATATTACTGTCGACTTCTTTTTGTTGTGCATCCTTAAAAAGCTCCTTTCAGGTGCTTCGTCTCTGCTAAGGAACGAGGTGCATCATCCATCATGAGGGAAAAGGTGCGTGTTTTCTTCTGATTTGTTACATTTCTCAAACAGCTTNATAGTTGACGCGCAACTCGTTTCATTTTTAATTAAACAAATTCTATGAATACATAATACTTGGGTGGTATGGGTGCTCTTGAGTAAAAGAGTGAAGAAATGGCGGGCGATTCTCTTCTCTTCAAGCCTTATTTATTGTATTATCAGTTTACAACGCTTTGGATATTACTGTCGACTTCTTTTTGTTGTGCATCCTTAAAAAGCTCCTTTCAGGTGCTTCGTCTCTGCTAAGGAACGAGGTGCATCATCCATCATGAGGGAAAAGGTGCGTGTTTTCTTCTGATTTTACATTTCTCAAACAGCTTAATGCGGATCTTACCTAGTTGTTCAATTGTTTCAGTAATTTATGTTTGAAAAGAATTTTGTTCAGTGGCGTAAGAAGCGAATGCGTCGGCTGAAGCGTAAGAGAAGAGCCCAAAAGAAGTGAGCTGTGGTTGTCGGGATGCGTCTCAGTCGTAGTGGTATATCGTCTTTCGTTGCTTCGTTCTACATCAGGCCTTCATACTGCTCGTGAGCTGAACAAGTTACGACACCGCGCTTATGCTGTTTTGGGATTGTTGTTTTTGAATTCATTAAATGAATCTTTATTGTTTTCAACCGTACTAACACATTCATTACATTGATGTAATTGGCTGCCTTGTGTCGGTGATGGATGGAGCTGAGAGAAAGGTAATCAAGGTGCCGGCGCTGATGAAGGTGGCGAAAATAACGAGTAGGATTCTGTCAATGACCAGGGAGATGAATTGCCAGTCCGCCTCAGTCTGAAATCACTCAGTCCAGACCGAATTGGTAGGTGTAGAAGTGTTTTCAAGGTCGTAGTCGTAAAGTCCATAAACAAACAAATCAATGTATTGATGTAAAGAAAAGACTATATGTAAGAACGCGCGGCATAATAGCTAAAGGAATGCAAGGAGCTTGTGGTTTTTTCGTTTGCCTACGGTTCTTTGAGCGTAAACGTGAAATAAGGTGTTGGGGTCCGTGTAGGGAGAAATCGAATAGCAGATGTATAAGTGAAGAGAACACCTAGAAATCGATATTTGCGACGTGCTAAGAAAAATCTTTTTTAATGAAATTCAATCAGATGAAGTATCAGCGATTCATTATGCCCCAGATCGCGGTTGAGCCGTTTTGGTGGTTTCAAGTGTTGCAGAAGACCCTGCTCAGGAAAGGTTTCGGGTTTGTTTACCGATGAACGCTACTTTTGTATTACGGTGTCAGCATACCTCCTCCGCTTGACGTCGTTCCGTAAGCGTCTGGGCGATGTAATGCACGTTCTGTTCGGCTCTTCGTAGTTTATTTCGAACAGCACTTCCTCGTCGGCGAATCTGCTGATTCCGTGATGTTGTGTAGCTTTTCACCAAATGAATGCTCGTCTTGCGATGCCTCTCGTCTTTGCTGTAATTAGATGTTAGTGTACTGCGATAAAAGCTGGCATAGATGGTGAAGACCTCTGTAAGGTGGTGCGCGCAATAAGTTGATGTTAGTAGAAAATGTCACAATTAGGGTGGGGAGGGTACGAATTGCGTGGGAACTAGGGACGCAGGGACCACGTACTGTGTGCAAGAGAACAGAATCGGTCAGATTTTTTTAACGTAGCAATGCCAGATATGGTCTCAATTGCCGATTGAAAAATTTTTCATTTGACAGCGGTTCAATGATAGGGGCCTTTACGGTAACTGCTGAACCTTTAAAAGCAGAAAGTGGTCTACGTTAATGTACAAAATAAGTACCGATTGCCAAAGCCCAAAGTTATTGTTGTAGCCCTGTAACTCTTGGCAACAGGTGATCGCCAGTAATTGATGTAGCAGGGATACCAGAAATTGTGAATCTTTCGGTGTAACACGTGGTCGGAAGATGATAAGGCTATCATACAATGCTGACAAACACTCTTTGAATGTTTTGGTAAGCAGACTCAACCTTAGAGGGGGGAGGGGGGGTTACTGGAATTTGAACAATTAACGAAAACGTTCGATACTATCATGTCAAATGGAATTTTGGGAATGCTTCATGTAATATTGTTAATGTAGTAAAAGCTCATATTGAGCTAAAGCTGCAGGTGGGTGGTTTCAAGGAACTCGCTCCTAAATATAGTTGTTTTGCCTTTCGAAATTTGTTCCAAGATATTTGCTGTGGACTTGAGGATTGTAAATATAGGGCGAATGCTGGCAAGAGACCATGTTGCGACTATTTTGGCACTTAATCACTTCTGCCATTCTAAATGGATTTCGGGGAAATCATTTAAAATGGTGTTGCAGGAGTGTCAACTCGTTAGAGAAATGGAACAAGATTAATTTCGATCGTTGAGTTACCCTAACGATTAGGGTTCAAAAACCTCACTTATTTTGTATCAATTGCGGATTGACAGCAGCCGCCTTCACGCTCATTGAACGATTCATCATGGGCAGCTCAAGAAATAGCGAATTTACTGTTGACATTGGTTTCTTGGCTTTTGCTGCCATTTCAATTTGGAGTGCTGTTTTATGGAATTGCTTTTGTAGTATTGACATTGCGGATAAGGCATTGATTTGCTGAAATTGGAAAATTTAATCTCCGAAACCTAGCAATCAAAATACCATTTTGAAAAGAATAAACACTGATAAGCCCTATTATCAGTAATCACTGCTATTCCGCTTGATTACCTTGTTGTGTTGGGCTTTTCGATGAAAATTGGCTGCCTCTGTAGCTCTAGAAATGAGCAGTTTCCGTCCAAGCGTGTCAATAAAAATCTGTCGAATTCGATCCGAAATTGGAAAATTGGCCGTTCGGAAATGGATATTTTGGACCTGAAAGATTACATCTGTTTTTCTAGATGTCCCAGTAGTCAAAACAAGCTCCCGCTCTAAAAACTCTTCTGTTAGAAAGATATGATGAGTGCAATTCACAAAAACATCGAAAAACGGGACTTTATTGTGAGCTATTAAATGTTTCCAGAAATCCTTAGTCTATACAAGTAATCAAAAGTGATACCAAAGTAAGTTCAGGGTAGAACGGTTTTGTTACAATCAGGTCAATCAGCGTAGAATAGAAACAGAAAGATAAATCAATAGGAAGGGAATGTTCTTTGGAAGGATCTGAATTTCCTGCATG